CTCTCTCTCTCTCTCTCTCTCTCTCTCTCTCTCTCTCTCTCTCTCTCTCTCTCATCCCCTCCCTCCCTCCTCTTCTCTCCCTCCCTCTCCCTCTTATTCTCTCTCTCTCTCGCCCTGCAACACATCACTTGATCGCGCGCTGCCCCGCGCTCGCCTCGACCCAGTCTGAACAGAGCGCGCTGCTGCAGCTAGAGCAGTCTAGCGGGTACAGCCAGTGGCAGCGCGAGCGTCGCTCCCGGGCACACACTATTTTCTATCTCTCTCTTTCTCTCTTACTCACATACACGTACACACACACGCACACGCTTCTCCTAACGCACGTGGCCTTCCAAGTTCAGCGCCAGCACCAGAGCGCTGCACATCGGCGACAAAGCAGGTACTTTTAATAATCTCACTAATATCTGATTAAGTGCAAAATACAACTAAGTAGTACGCATCAGAAGGAAACATAGCTCAAAACTTTTTTTTTGACAGCCAAGCTGAAACGTTACTCAGTTGATCCGTAGCCTATCATTGTTTTAAAAAATAATACAATTGCCATTTGCATCATTCTTTTCTAAAAATGGGGGATGATACAAACACCGCACTAGTTCGCCCAGTCAAACGGATTTTGTCAAAATGACATCATTTTGATGCCATCGTCAAGATTTTGTCATTTTCGTTTTACGTTTCGATGTCATTTCGAGATCAAATGACATCCGTTTGACTGGCGCACAGTTTTAATACTCTCCATAGGTTTGCCCTCTTGTGTTAATTTCGCCATCAAACTCGTCGCGCTTGTGCCGGCTCTCGAGACCGGCGCGACACGGGTCCGTAAGTAATCGCGCGGGGTTTCGCAATGCAGCCCGTTGGGGGTAACGCTCGGAGTGTTGTGGGCATGTGGTAGGACCTACCACCTACCAGGTAGGTCCTCGTTGGGGAAGGCGAGAGGCTTAGGGTAAGTGTACCATACATGAATCATGGATCACCCCCGTCTATATTCGAACTCGTAAGTCAAAATGAGATACGAAAATGTGTAGGAGGAGGGCTAAGAGGTCTATACAGGAAACACGTTTCCAAATTTGCCAACCTACCAGATCTCGCATAAAGTGGGGGTGATCCAGATCCATGACACATGTTTGGTACACTTACCCTGCGCTCAAGTCTGGAGGGAAAGTTCACAAAATTTTGAAGATAACTAATTGAGTGTGTCAACTTAAACTGATTATAATATCAGATGTGCAGAGCTGACAGTCATCAGGTGTTATCTCTTATCGCCTGATCTGGTGCCGTAGCGGCCACGCCGGCCTGGCCGGCCACAGAAGGCTCGTGTCCGATCTGCCGCGCAGCCAGAACGTCATGTCGTCTACCTTCAGCCGAAACAGGCCCGGGAGGCGCTGGGCCATGGCGGTCGGAGCCATCGCCGCCCTCGTCCTGGCGGCCGCCGCCGTCGGCGTCCTGGCCGCCCCGAGGGACGCACCGAGGCCGGCGCCGGCGCCGCAGCCGTCGCCCGACCTCGGCTACCTGGTGGAGCGGACCAAGTTCCTGAGCGACGAGTCGCAGCGCTTCCTGGGCAACAGCCTCGTGCTCGGCGCCGCCGAGCAGCGAGTCAACGGGCTCCTCATGGCCTGGAAGCAGAAGGAGTACAACGTCCCGGAGGCCGACTTCCTGCCCGCGCACTCCTTCTTCCTTGTCCGGGAGGCCATCGAGCGCTCGCCCGTGTACAAGTTCATCAAGCGCATGCCCAAAGGTGAGCCCCCGCCAGAGTGAAGGAGCATCCTTTGCTCTTGAGTCATTTCAAAAGTTTGCAAACCACCGGTGGTGTCACCGCCAGAGGTGAGCATCGGGCGGTCCGCCTGGACCGGGATGGTCCGAAAAGCGAGAAGTGCGAGTGAGATGGAACTCTGGCCCGCTCGAGCGTCTCACTTCCACCCGTCGTTTTCGGACCATCCCGGTCCAGGCGGACCGCCCGATGCTCACCTCTGGTCACCGCGTCGTCAGCCGTCGACGCTAATCAGATCAAGCTTGTGAGCGACGGTCAGGGCCGCGCGCACCGCTGCTGCGTCGTCGCGGACGTGCTCTGGACTCACCCTGGGCGTGCTGCTGCAGGTGCCGTGCTGCACGTCCACGACCTCTCCGCCGCCAACGCCGACTACGTGGTGCAGAACGTGACGTACCGCGACCACCTCTGGGGACGCGTCTCTGACGCGGAGGTGCAGCTGCGCTTCGCGGCCGCGGCCCCCGCCCCCGGCTGGGAGCTCGTCGCCGACCTGCGCCGCCGTGCTGCCTCCGTCGCGGACTTCGACGCCAGGCTGGAGAGGGCGTTCACCATCACGGACATGAACCCCGCCCGTGAGTATACTCGTCACATACTCAGCACTGCACACCATCTTGAAACACCGCAAAGTCGTCCCAACCAACAATATTTATCATACCGACGCCGGTCACATTCCAATAAATATGTCCCAAAACTCTGGTTACTCATCTTTGAAAATTTTGAAAGATTTCGAAAGAGAATAAGTGATGACAACCAGGATAGGAAAGATTTTCTTCGCAATTCGATCACAACAAATCACGATTCTGTTCACTAACGTCACGTAAGGTGAGAACATGGTTGCCAACCATCGGCACAAAAAGTCCCCCTTGCTTCCCGTCGCCCTGAGGCCCTGAGCGAGTGTAGCGAGGTCACGGTGAACTCCCAGTGGAGAACTTACAAAAGCACTTGCTAGTCCGGCCAAAGTAGGGAGAGGAGAGTGGAGAATACGCTTCCCTAGCAGTGAATGCAGGGCAAGTCGACGCCATGCGGTTGGCAACCCTTTCAAGCTGCTCTCAACGACTCGAACGGAACTGATTGCGTGATTTGTTATTGTGCAGAGAAACATCGTTTTTATCGTGTCATGATATGCCGGTTTAACAGTGATATCTTCAAGTGGAGGCACACTTACGGCATTCACACCATGAGTGAGTTCGGCTGCCATCAGCTGCTGAACTCTACTTTGAAAGCTTTGAATACATCCTCAGAGGGAGGTTATGGACCCATTCATTCATCCGTTGATTCGAGACAGATGGATTCTGTGTGGCAGACCCCAGGATATTTTCTATCGCGATTCACTCGATTTCACTGAAGTAACCTAAGGTGAGCACTATTTTCGTATCCTGCCACAAGAAGTGTAGTAGCAGCTGCTCACTATCAGTAGTGTAGCCCCCTCCATTGTGTTCCACAGTCAATCAGAAGTACCCACCCAAACTAGATCAGTGCAGTTGCTATAGTTTTCACCATGTGGTATGATCTATCCACTTTCAACACTTGAATACCATGATTGTGACCATGAGTGTGGTGAGCCCTCCTATGTTGCGAGATTGAGTTTGTGTTGCGACAGACTGACGGACATTATTAGTGGTTTCAAAACTTTTTACTACTGCTCATTCTAAATTATGAATTTAGTCCAATTATTTCTTTGATGCTTCAGACTATACCTATGATCTGGAGACTTCAACCGCCCAAATAATGTACTGTTACATAATTGTATTAGTTGATACCACACACCACAATGGTGCAAATAAATTCTTTTTGGAAAGATGAAGAGATACTTGTCCTTCTACAAGAAGGGACAGTATTTCTAACTGTTGCGCCCGCCTTGCAGAGACTTACCCGGACCAGAAGACGGTTTGGCACGCGTTCGACACCACGTTCGGGGTGCTGTTCTCCCTGCTCACCTACGCCCCCGTGTTCCGGGACTACTTCCGGCGCACGCTGCAGGAGTTCTACGAGGACAACGTCATGTATGTCGAAATACGAGGAGTACTCCCCACAGTGCGTAGACGTCTACTCCACCAGCTTGCGCTCTTATTGAACTCGAGGCCTCTAGCGCCGCCCCGCAGTGGTGCCTCTGGAGTGCAGACGCTCGTCTTTGGGAGCCGTATAGAAAGCTGCGTCACTTTTAGCGGGCGGGGTACTTTTCCTACGGCTCTTTAATTAGTGGAGTGACCAAAGTACCCCCCAGCTATGACGTACGGCCCCCTGGACCACGGCGGCGGCGGCCCTTGAGGCCGGGCCGAGGACCCCGTCCGAGACTGACCCGTCCCCGCCCCTGCCTCCCCCGCAGCTGTTCGAGCTCGACGGCAGGGAGTACGGCCAGCTGGAGGTGGCGGCCCTCTACCAGCAGGTCGCCGACGAGTTCCGCCGCGTGCACCCGGACTTCCTGGGCGTCCGGCTGATCTACGCGCCCAGCCGCCATGTGTCGGTAAGCGCGGCGGTCTCACCATGTTGTCGTTGTGGAAGGGAGGTACCTTTCCCCCGCAATTTTTAGCTTTCTAAATCGGGTTTGTAAAATATCGTTGTTGGCTCGTCATGGTAAGGCATCCCCGCTGTTAGCCTTTTTCGCGGCGGGGCAACTCATCATAGCGTTTAGGAAGCATATTTGCAACCCCAAACTCAATAAAGGATGCCGGTAAAGCTGAAATGCAGAAAGAAGAAAACGGAAATCGCTACTCTTTAACATGGTGACTTCCGTTTTCTTGTTCCTCGCATTCTTCTGCTTTACCGGAATGGTTTATTTGACTGCCATGATAAAAATATCGCACTCTTTGAACTACTCCGTTTGAAAAGAGAAAACGAAGGATAAAAGTGACTGTGCCTGCAGGTGGGCCAGGTGCACGAGTACGTGGCGTTCTTCCGCCAGCTCAAGACGCAGTTCCCGGACTTCGTGGCGGGCTTCGACCTGGTGGCGCACGAGGACGATGGCCGGCCGCTGATCGACTTCGTGCCGTCGCTGCTGCAGCTGCGGCGCGACGTGCCCGACGTCAAGTACTTCTTCCACGCGGGGGAGACGAGTGAGTGCTAGTGTACACCCTTGGGAAAAAATCACCAAAAAATCATAAAAAATCATGAAAAAAACCCACAAAAGAATCATAAGAAATTAACGTAGAGTCAGGAAAAAAATCACAAAAAATCCAGAGAAAATCACAAAAAATCAAGAAAAACAAAAAAAAATCGGTATACGCTACAATTTTTAGTGAAGGGTCCCACGGTGCTAACAAACGGCAGAAGTGGGATCCTTTTATCATGGCCCTCTATTTGAGTTCAGGGTTGAAAGTGGAGGCTGTTTAGACGCCATAATAAAGCTACCCCACTCGGGAAATGTTACCTATGATACGATTATCATAGTCTGCGTAACACTTCCGTTTGCAATGCGTAGTTTAAATATGGTGCCGTGATAAAAGTACCCCACTCGTTGAGAAGGACGTAATTTGCGCACGATCCCTCTCAGGGGGTGTAAAAGTGTTACCTGTGATGACGGGTGAACTCTCCCCGCTCCAGACTGGGAACAATCTCTGACGGACGAGAACCTGGTGGACGCCGTGCTCCTGAACACGACTCGCATCGGGCACGGCTTCGCCATCGACAAGCACCCGAAGGTGATGGAGGTCGTCAAGTCCAGGGGGATCGGCATCGAGCTCAACCCCATCTCGAACCAGGTGGGTGAGGCAGGCGGGCGACGAGTGCAGATAGGTTCCCTTTGTCATACAATGTATTTCTGTTGTTGTTCTATCTATTCTGCTGCTCTGCTCTCATTGAAATGGAGTGTGAGAGGACAGGGGCAGGGTGAACTTGAACATGTTGTGTTCGACGCGTAGGTGCTGAACCTGGTGCGGGACCTGCGCAACCACCCGGGGGCGGCGCTGCTGGCCGACGACTACCCCGTGGTGATCAGCAGCGACGACCCGGGCATGTGGGGCGCGCGCGGCCTCAGCTACGACTTCTACGAGGCCTTCATGGGCATGACGGGGCTCAAGGCGGACCTGCGCACGCTCAAGCAGCTCACCATCAACTCCATCCGGTAGGTACCGTCAACCACGTCAACACGTGACCGAGGGCGGGGGTCCAAATGTCATGGGGTCCCTGTTGATAGTCATTATTGGAGTCCATAGCGATCCCATGATATTTTTACCCCGGGGTAAAAATGCCATGGGGGGGGGAGTCCCAATGGACTCCATTGACTGTCCTTAACCCTTTTTGGAAAGCCGATAATATTTGGATCTCCTGTAATTCACGCGGTTCTCAGAAGATCCCTTATTCGAACTATCCTGACTGTATGTGCTGCGCAGGTACAGCGCCATGGGCGAGCTGGAGAAGGAGGAGGCGCTGTCGCGGCTGGCTCAGCGCTGGCAGGAGTTCATCGCGGACGTGGACAACAGCCGGCTGGTGCTCCTCCAGCTGCGAGGCCTGTCGGCCGACTCGACCGACCACGACAACTCCATCCACAGCGGCACCAGCTGGGAGGCGTAGAGGGAGCGCGTGAGTGAGAGAGCAAGCACGACTGTGTGTGTGTGTGTGTGTGTGTGTGTGTGTGTGTGTGCGCGTGCGTGTGCGTGTGCGCGCCTGTTGGGCGCCAAGCAGTTAGATGGCGGCAGTATTAGGCGTACTTGACGTTGACGTGTTGTTGACTTGTCTAATTTCCGTTTGTCGAGCGCGAGTATGCGACTCGACGGCTGCCGTTTCTTTATTATTTATTTCGATAGCTCGTGTATTCGCGCGATGCGTGCGGACCGCCATGTACATATGTAAATAATGTCGCAATAAACGGAAAGTGAAGCGAACCCCGTGAAGAGAAGAATGAGTACTTGCGCCGGCGCAAAAAAAATACCCGGGGATTGAACCACGACTTTGAAAACTGATCTACTGACTCCAAGTCCGCATCTATTTCTGGTCCAGACCAGAAAGAAAAACATTCAGCTACCGAGACTGGTACGTCGGAACGGGCACTGAACGTGAACGGGGTCTGTCTGCACGCGGCGTATATATATATATGGTCTTTGCACGTTCAGTGCGGCTCCTTTTTTGGCCCCATGATGTAACATGGGAACGTGACCACCTAGTGGTCCCAGCGCAATGAACGTGGAAAGGTCCACGAGACGTTGAGAACGTATTTATACCGGCTGTGCATAACTATGTACAGTGTGTGCATCATTATGCATATTTTGTACACAATAATGCATACAAATTTGTGCATACTTATGGCTGTATAAAATTCTGCAAGTTTATGCACAGCAAAACGCATAAGGGTTTGGTGTGAATAAGCGTCGACCAGGATCGTACTCCTGACAATATCGAATAACGTCTATACAAAGAAGGCCTGCCGTCAAATAATCCGCGTAGAGACGGAGGCACAAGGTGACGTTAACCTCGACTTTCACAATGAACACTGTGCAACAGCTGGATGAAATTGTGTATTTTCTGTATTACATGATCTACTTTTTATTATTTATTTTAAGCCATGTAAGACCAACAAACACCACAGTAATAAATAAGAACAATACTCCTCCAAATATGCAAGACGTCATCGACAGTGACGGCGTGACGGCGGCTTGGGCCTCGTCCAAGCAGTCGCAATCGCACTTGAACTTGTCCACCCAGCACGCGTTTTCACAGTCCTTATTCAGCCCTCTGCAGTCCCTCGCACACTCGTCTGCCGAGGCGACGCACTTGACGGAGCACCCCTCGAGCGCGCTCATGTACTCGACGGTCAGAGTGTAGTTCCCGCTGCCCGCGGGGTGGCCGGCGCAGCCGCACACGCAGCTGTCCTCGCACAGGCCTGGGCAGAATATGTCTTCTTCGTCGCACTGGCTGCAGGGCTCCTTGGCGCACTGCAAGGGGTCAGTCGGTCAGTCAGCGGGCAGGAGGGTGTCGGCCGACCTCGGCGCACGCGTCAGCTTACTCACCTGCTCCTCACAGACAGTCCAGTTCTGCAACTCGGCGGGGGCGGAGGTGGGCCGTCGTGGGCGGGCGGCGCTGACGGCGTCCTCCGGGCGCGCCAGGGCGAGCGGCAGCAGCGCCAGCAGCGCCAGCAGCTCGACGGGCAGCATCGAGTACCGCGCCATCCTGGGGCCGACGACGGGCTGGGCGCTGACCGAAGAGCACCTCGAGGTGGACGTGGTGCTGGCGACTGGCGCGTCGCTGGTCCCGGTGATCGGCTCTCTGTGTGCCGCTGATAGTATTCGGGCCTCCTCTCGCGCCTCCGGGACTTCCTGGTGGGGGGTAAGGGACAGGGCCGGCGCGTGGGGTCAGAGGTCAGGACTGCGGCGATAAAGGGTCTCGGACAGGCTGCTGCTGTGCGCGTGTGTTCATTTGTCTCTGTGTTCCGGTTTTTTCGAGTGCCTTGGTGACTCGATGCCTGCTGTCGTATAGTTTTATTCGTTTTGATAACTCGCTGTCCGAACCTAGTGTTGACGGTCGGAGTGGCGCTACCCCTCGCCTGCGTGCGTGAGGGGGGCGGGGTGGTGTGCGAACGACACCGGCGATACTCCGGGCCGGCCGTGGCCGCAAGATGGCGCCACCGTTGTGAGAGCGAGAGAAATGGGAGGGGAGACGCGCTCCTGGGACTTCCCTCGCGAAGCTCCCTCCCGACGCGGAGTATCGACACGACTGGTACTCGCCGCCGCTGGCGAGCAGCACACATCTCTTGCATCTTCCTTGGACACGCACCCTGACACCGAATTAATACGGCCGATAACAGAACCCCTTTAATCATTTTCGTCCAAATTATTTCCTTGCAGAAAATTCGTTACTCATCAATAGGTTGTGTCGAATAACAAACACATTGATTGCTTCCCCAGCTAAA